CTTTCTTTATCTTTTGGAGTAGTTTCAGTAGAATTGGTACCAATGCTTCTTTGAATGCCTAACAGAATTCAGCTGTTAATGCATCTGGTTCTGGATTTTTTTGTTGGAAATAATTTAAATTAATAATTTAATCTCTCTACTTGTTATTGATCAGTCTGTTCAGAGTTTCTTTTTTTCCTGATTTAATCTAGGAGGCTTGTATATTTTCAGGAATTTATCCGTTTCCTCTAGATTTTCTAGTTTGAATGTGTACATGTGTTCATAGTAGCCTTGAGTGATCGTTTATATTTCTGTGGTACCAGTTGTAATATCTCTCATTTCATTTCTAATTGAGGTTATTTGGATCTTCTCTCTTCTTTTCTTGGTTAATCTCACTAATGGTCTATTTTGCTTATTCTTTCAAAGAACCATCTCTTTGTTTCATTTAATCTCTTGTATTTTGTTTGTTTCAATTTTATTTAGTTATTCTCTGATCTTTGTTATTTCTTTTCTTCTGCTGTGTTTGGGTTCAGTTTTCTCTTGTTTCTCTAGTTCCTTGAGCTGTGATTTTAGATTGTCTATTTGTGCCTTTCAGACTTCTTGATGTAGGCATTTAATGCTATGAACGTTCCTCTTAGCACTGCTTTTGCTGTATCCCAGAGGTTCTGATAAGTTGTGTCACTATTATTTTTCAAATAATGTTTTAATTTTCACATTGAATTCATTGCTAACCCAAAAATCACTCAAGAACAGATTATTCAATTTCCATATATTTGTACAGTTTTGGGGGCTCCTTTTGGAGTTGATTTCAGTTTTATTCCACTGCGGTCTGAGAAGATACTTGATAGGATGTTGATTTTCTTAAATTTATTGAAACTCATTTTGTGGCCTAGCATATGGTCTAACTTGGAGAATGTTCCATGTGCTGATGAGAAGAATGTACATTTTGGGAAGAATGTTTTACAAATATCAATTAATTCATTTGTTCTAGGGTATAGTTTTAGTCCATTGTTTCTTTGTTGACTTTCTGTTTTGATGACCTGTTTAGTGCTGTCAGTGGAGTACTGAAGTCTCCCGCCATTATTGTGTTGTTGCCTATCTCATTTCTTAGGTCTAATAGTAATTGTTTCATAAATTTGGGAGCTCTGGTATTAGATGCATATAAACTTAGGATTGTAATATCTTCCTATTGGACCAATCCTTTTACTATTATATAATGTCTTTCTTTGTCTTTTTTACTGTTGTTGCTTTAAAGTCTGTTTTGTCTGATACAAAAATAGCTATTCCTGCTTGATTTTCATTTCCATTTGTGTGAAATATTTTTTTCTACCCCTTTATCTTAAGTTTATGTGAGTCCTTATGTGTTAGGTGAGTCTCTTGAAGACAATAAATATTTGGTTGGTAGATTTTTATCCATTCTGCCATTCTTTATCTCTCAAGTGGAGCATTTGGGCCATTTACATTCAATGTTAATATGGAAATGTGAGGTGCTGTTCTATTCATCATGTTAGTAGTTGCCTAGATACTTTTTTTTTTCAATGTGTATTATTTTACATGGCATGTAAGATTAATGCTTCAAGGAGGTTCTATTTTGGTGTATATCAAGGTTGTTTCATAATTGGGAACTCCTTAGCATTTCTTGTAGTGCTGGTTTGGTAGTGGCAAATTCAGCATTTGTTTGTCTGAAAAAGACTTCGTCTCTCCTTCAGTTATGAAGCTTAGTTTTGCTGCATACAAAATTATTGGCTGACAATTATTTTGTTTAAGGAGGCTAAAGATAGTACCCAATACCTTCTGTCTTGTAAGATTTCTGCTGAGAAATCTGCTGTTAGTCTAATAGGTTTTCCTCTGTAGGTTACCTGATACTTTTGTCTCACTGTTCCTAAGATTCTTTCCTTCAACTTGACTTTACACAGCCTGATGATTATGTGCCTTGGTGATAATCGCTTTGTAATGAATTTCCCAGGAGTTATTTGAGTTTCTTGCATTTGGATGTCTAGCTCTCTAGCAAGGCCACAGTTTTCCTTAATTATTCCCTCAAATAACTTTTCCAAACTTTTAGATTTCTCTTCTCCGGAACACCAATTATTCCTAGGTTTGGCCATTTTGCATAATCCCATATTTCTTAGAGACTTTATCCTTTTTTTGTTTTCTTTTTGTCTTTGTCTGATTGGGTTAATTCAAAAGTCTTGTCTTCGAGTTCTGAAATTCTTTCTTCTACCTGTTCTAATCTATTGTTGAAACTTTCCACTGCATTTTCTATTTCCCTAAGTATATCTTTCATTTCCAGATGTTCTGATTATTTCTTTATGATATCTATTTTACTGAAAAATTTTCATTCATATTCTGGATTTGTAAAAATTCTTTAAGTTGGCTTTTACCTTTCTCTGGTATTTCCTTGAGTAGCTTAATAATCAACCTTCTGAATTATTTGTTTGGCATTTCAGAAACATCTTGGTTTGAATCCATTTCTTGGGAACTAGAGTGATCTTTTGGGGGTGTTTTAGAACACTGTTTTTTCATATTCAAAGAATTACTTTTCTGGTTTCTTCTCATTTGGGTAGACCATTTCTTCACATTATTCTTTATTTTTGTTTTGACTGTGGGGTATTTTTCTATTTCTTTTTTTCCCCATTTTAAGGATCAGACTTTAGTGGCTTTAATGTTTATGGTTTATTTTAGCATAATTTAATTCTTGGTGCTTTTAGGGGGAAAACACTGTATGAGTTCCTTTATCATAGAGAGTCTTTGTGCTCTGGCTTTCCCAGATGCTGGTTGTAGTAGTTATGTACTTGGAGTGTGAGCCAGTTGACTGTCTCCTATGGGATTGGAGTGGTAGGGATCTCTTGAGGCTTATCTAATTCTCTCATAGAATACACTTTATTTATTTGTTTAAATTTTCCCAATATTTTATTTACTGAGTTGATGATTCAGGCTTCAGGCTGATAAGGGAGGTATCTTTAGGTAGGCACTGGTTGTAGCCAAAGCAGGCTTGTAGATACAATACCCACTAGAGAGCAGAGGTCCCACCCTTGATGAATGTGGCTGGCAAAGCTCTCAATTAGATGTGCAGAGGTTTTATCAGAATGAAGAGTGGGCGCCACATCAGTTCCCCTGCCAGGCCAGCAGGTAGGCTATCTACCTCACAGTCTCACTCTTGTCCCAATGTTTGAGCCATTCAGATCATATAAGCACCTCTTTTCATTGTAGAAATGTTACTCTTCCACCTAGGAAGGAATTCTGGCTCTGCCTCTCATGCAGCCCTGACTCTGGGCAGTGCTCCTCCTGTGGGGCTAGAATCACCCTGAATTGTTCCAGGAAGGCTATCTACAGGTGCATCCACATTTCATTCCCATGGGAGAAGACACAGCTGTGTCTGCAGTATGTGCCAGGGGAACAAAAACCCCGTCTCCAAGGCCCTTTATGATCATAGAGGCTGCCTGCCTGCTGGCATAGGCATACATATTTTTACTACTGTGCCCAGCACTGCAATTGTATCTCTGCTATAAGAAACTTCCCACCAGAAGAAAAATCAGGGACTAAAGTCCTGCCATTCAGATTTTTTTGTGCCACACGGTGACTCCCCTATGTGGTACTCTCCCCCTTCTGCCAGGACTGGGCTTTCCAAGAGCTGGACTGCAGTGGTTGTTATTGCTCTTCTGGGTCTAGCCCACCAGTGGGACTACCAGGCTTTGGGCTGGTACTGAGGAATATCTGCAAAGGATCCAGTGATGTGACCTGTCTTCAGGTCTCCCAGCAATGGATACCAGCATCTGCTGTGATGGTGATAGCAGGGGTGTGACATAGACTCTATGAGATTCCTTGGTTGTAAATAGGTTTAGTGTGCTGGCTTTTTCAATTGTTAGTTATGCTAGCAGTGAATTTGTGATATGGACAGACTCACGACCACTGTTTAACCAACATGTTGCAGGCAGCGGTGTTAGCTGGGATCTCACAGTCATTTTCTCTTCCCTAGGTTCAGTGTTACTGTATTGAGAGGTGTTGTAATGGCCTGAGTTTGTTGGCCTCCAGCCGGGAGGTACCACTTGCAAAAGAGCACCAGCTGCATTAACCTTTTCCTAAATTGTCCAGGGGAGGTGTTCTGGCTTCTCAAGCAACGGGCAGGGCTATAAAGCTCCCAGATGTTTATATATTTGTGTTAAGTTACCAGGGAAGAAAGAGAAATACCATCAGGTGGAGTCAGGATTAGACAGGCTCAAGCTCAGACTTTCTTTGTGCAGGACCTGCCTCAGCCAGTCTGGGTAACAGAGGGTGGTTCTCAGGCCACCGGGGTAATGTTCCAGAGGAAAGTATAACTGTCTCTGCTGTGCAGAAGAGTTCACAAGGGAAGTAGAGATTAGCTGACAGCACTAGTTCCCACCCAGCTCCCACACAGTTGGTGAGGCTAGTCTCACTCCCACAGTGTCCCACTAACAGCACCAGGTTTAGATCAGGCAGCCTGCACATAGAACTCAGACCTGACTCACGCCATAAGCTTCCCTACAGAAGCTTAGATCCAGGCAGCCTGCGCACAGAACTCAGATCTGACCCAGGCCATAAGCTTCCCCACAGAGACAGCAATAACAACTTTAAGGCCATTCCCCTCCCGATCTGCCCACAAGGCCAGGCACCCAGCTTCTATGCTTTTGTCTGCAGCACACTTCCTGCTCACCCCTGGATTCTGTTCAAGAGAATTTGTCCCCACTCAAAATTATATCACTAAATTCAGTTAGGAGCTTCTTTCACCCTGGTATCCTGCCCTGAGTTCGTTGGCTAACTTCCCCAAGGGCATCTGTGAGAAATAATCAGGAATGGTTTCCTTCGGCTCATGCTGCAGACTGTCAATGCCTACAAGGCACTTCCCACTGCTGCTGCTTCTTTAATATTTCACATTTCTGCCTAAATTCATTCCAGCTCTCAGTAGGGTTAAGGTCTTCTCCCATGATCTAGGTTTTCAGATTCCCCAGTAGGGATGTGTGTTTGAACCCAGGTTCGCCCCCTCTCACACTCTGGGTACTTACAATTTTTCACCTGTCTCATGGAGTAGGCTACAGCCTGCTGCTTTTTTCAAAGGCTCTGTGAATTCTTTCAGTTTTCCTGGTAAGATCCTGTGGTGGTTCATGGAAAAAAAAATTAACAGTGTGAATCTCCACCCACTATTGTATCCTTTCAAGTGGGAGTGGGACACCAACATTACCTCCTATCCACCATCTTGAAAAAAAACACAATGGGTTTTTCTTAAATGATCCAACAGTATGCTGTCTATGAGAAAGTCATCTTATCCATAAAGACATACATAGGCTGAAAAAAATAAAGGTGTGGGAAAAGATATTCCACACAAACAGAAACCAAAAGTGAACAGGAGTAACTATACTCTTATATCAGGTAAAACGAGCTTTATTACCAAAAACACTAATAAAAGAAAAAGAGAGTAATTATATAAAGATAAAGGATCAAATCAGCAGGAGGATATAACAAACCTAAATATATAGGCACCCAACATCAGATCACCCAAACTCACAAAACAAATATTACTAGACCTAAAGAAACAGACAGCACTATAATAATAGTAGGAGACTTTAGCACCCCACTCATGGCACTAGACAGGTAATTGAGACATAAAATTAACAAAGAAACATTGAACTTAAATTGAACTTTAGACAAAATGGACTTACCAGTTTTTTATATAACATGCTACCCAACAACTACAAAATGTTCATTCTTTTCATTAGCATATAGAATACTCTTCAAGATAGACGATGTGTAGGCCACAAAGCAAGTCTTAACAATTTTTAAAAAATAAAAATCATACCAAGTATCTTCTCAGATCATGGTGGAATAAACTTAGAAATCAGTACCAAGAAGAACTTCAGAAACTATACAAATATATGAAAATTAAACAGCATGCTCCTGAATGATTACGGAGTCAACAAAGAAATTTAAATGGAACTTTTTTTAAAAAAAATTGAAACTAATGAAAATGAAAAGACAACAAACCAAAACCCATGGGACACAACAAAAGCAATGCTAAGAGTAAAGTTTACAGTATTAAATGTCTACACCAAAAAAGTAGAAAGATCACAAATTAACTACCTAATGGCACATCTTGCAGAACCAGAAAAACAAGAACAAAGCAAAACCAAAGTTAGCTGAAGAAAACAAATGACAAAAATCAGAGCAGAACTAAATAAAATGAGACCAAAAAAAAGATCAATGAAATAAAAAGTTGGTTGTCCAAAAATATAAACGAAATTGATAAACCATTACCTATATTAATTAAAAAGAGAGAGGCTCCAAATAAACACAATCAGAAATGAAAAAAGAGACATTACGACTGATACCACAGAAATACAAAAGATCATCAGAGACTATTATGAACAACTATTTGTTAACAAACTAGAAAACCTAGAGGAAATGGATAAATTCATGGAAACATACAACCTTCCAATATTGATTCAGGAAGAAATAAAACTCCTAAACAGACCGATAATGAATAGCAAAATTTAGTCAATAATTTAAAAACTCTCCCCACACAAAAAAGCCCAGGACCAGATGGATTCACATTCAAATTCTACCAACTATACAAAGAATAATTAATGCCAATCCTCCTGAAACCATTAAAAAACATGAGGAGGAAGGAATTATCCCTAATTCATGATATGAGATCAATGTCACCCTCATACTAAAACCAGACAAGGGTGCAGCCAAAGGAAAAAAAAAAAAACGACAACAACTACATGTCAATATTTCTGATAAACATAGATGCAAAAATTCTCAACAAAATACTTGCAAATCAAATTCAATAACACATTATAAAGATAATACAAAAAAGAATGAAAAGAAAATATAGAAGACTTTTTGAATTGCTAAATATTAGATATACATTATATGTTTTTTTCACTGAAGGCTAGGATAGATGGAGAATATATATTTTATAGAAAAAAGAATGTAAAAAAAAAAGAAAAAAAGAGAAATAATTTATATATGCCAGAAACTGAGAGTAATGTTTCCTGAGAGAATCGGAGCACAGATAGATACAGACACAAGTCCTGAGCTGACTAAAAGATTGTATGCTTTTTCCATTCTCAACATGCTCCAACAATTCTAAACAATATCAGTGATGAAATACTCCTTTGCAAAAAAGTATCTTGTTGGTCTCATTTCTAAATTCCTGAGATTACCGTTGACTTTTAATATCCTAGTGTAATGTGACCTTTAAATTAGCACTGTTCTTTAATAAAATCTATATGTTCTTTAATAAATGTCATATTCCACATGAAATTTGAAGAACTACCAGTTCACAAGACATTTGTAATGGCTCAACATTCTTTGAGTTTGTCTTTCCAAATGCTGTCATTGTACGTATTCCTGAGTTTATATACAAAGATTGCACGTGATTGTAAAAATGAAGAAAACTAACATGAGCTATTCATTTTTGTCATTCTAGGTGACTACTTGAAGTTCATATGTTTAAAATTTTTGAGAATGAAACAAAAGAAACTGTATATCGTTAAGTGTCTATTTTAGGTTATACATGAAGTAATATGTTGAATTTTTGTAACTTTTTTCAAGTTGAAATTTTATCTTTCTTAATTGTTCATTTCTGAAATAAAGGATAAATAAAAAATTTAAAAAAAAAAAGATAATTTAACCAGGCATTGCAGCTTATACATGTAATCTCAGCACTTTGGGAGGCTAAAGCAGGAGAAATGCTTGGGGCCAGGAGTTTGAGACCAGCCTGGGCAACATACTGAAATCTTGTCTTTCCTAAAAATTTAAAAATTAGCTGGGTATGGCAGTGCACACCTGTAGTCCCAGCTACTCAGGAGGCTGAAGAAGAAAGATTGCTTGAGCCCAAAAGTTTGAGCTTAAAGTCAGCTATGATTGTATCACTGCACTCCATCCTGGATAACAAAGCAATACCATGTCTCAAAAAAGAGAGAGATAAAGACAGAGAAAGAGAGAATGCAAGGTTGGTTTAACAGACACAAATCAATAAATGTGATACATCACATAAACATAATTAAGGACAAAAACCAAAATCATCTCAATAGATGCAACAAAAGCATTTGATAAAATTCAGCCTCTGTTCATTATAAAAATCTTCAACCAACTAGGCATAAAGGAACATACCTCAACATAATAAAGCCCATATATGATAACCCTACAACAAATATTACACTTAATGGGGAAAACTGAAAGCATTCTCTCTAAGAGCTGGAATAAGACAAGGATGCCCACTTTCACCACTCCTATTTAACATAGTATTGCAAGTCCTTGCCAGAGCAATCAGGCAAGAGAAATAATAAAAACTATCTAAACTGAAAAAGAGAAAGTCAAATTATTCTTGTTCACTGATTGATTATATAATCTTATATCTAAAAAACCCTAAAGACACCACCAAAAAACTTTAGGATTTGACAAATGAACTCAGTAAATTTTCAGGATATAAAATTAATATGCAGTAGCATTACCATAATGGTCTAGCCATGATCCAAATTAAGAAGGCAATCTCACTTATAAGAACTTCCAAAAAAATTAATAAAATATCTGGGGATATATTGAACCAAGGATGTAAAAAAATCATTTTAGGGAGAATTACAAAATACTGATGAAAGAAATTATGGATGACACAAACTAATGGAAAAACATCCCATGCTTATGCATTGGAAGATATAATTTTTTTTTCTTCTAGATGGAGTCTCGTTCTGTTGCCCAGGCTGAAGTGCAGTGGCACAGTCTTGGCTCACTGCAACCTCCACCAGGTCTAAGCAATTCTCCTGCCTCAGTCTCTTGAGTAACTGGGACTACAGGCATGCGCCACTACACCCAGCTAATTTTTGTATTTTTAATAGAGATGAAGTTTCACCATGCTGGCAAGATTGGTTTCGAACTCCTGACCTCAAGTGATCCACCCACCGCAGCTTCCCAAAGTGCTGGGATTACAGGCATGAGCCACTGTGCCCAGCTGAATTAATATTCTTAAAATGACCACACAGCCCAAAGTAATCTACAAGTTCAATGCAATCCCTATCAAAATACCAATGTCATGTCCACAGAGAAGGTTTATAAAAAAATACCAATGTCAATTTTCACAGAATTAGAAGAAATAATTCAGAATTCAGAGCTAGAAAAAATGAATTCATATGGATCCAAAAAGGAGCCCAAATAGCCAAAGCAATCCTAAGGGAGGGGGAATAAACAAAGCTGAAGGCATCACGTTGTCTGACTTTAAATTATGCTACAAGGCTATAGTTACCAAAACAGCATGATACTGATACAAAAATCAACATAGATTAATAGAACAAAATAGAGAGGCTAGAAATAAAACCACACACAGCCAACTGATCTTTGACAAAATTGACCAGAACATACACTGGAGAAAGAATATCCTTTTCAATAAATTGTGCTGAGAAAATCGAATTGCCATATGCAGAAGAATGAAACTGGACCCTTATCACTCACCAAATACAAAAATCAACTCAAGATAGATTAAAGACTTGCATGTAAGAAACTGACACTATAAAAATGCTAGAAAAAAAATAGGGAGAACTCTTGTAGACAGTGGTCTAGTCAAGAATTCATGAAGAAGACCTTGAAAGCACAAGCGACAAAAACAAAAATAGACAAATGGAATTTAAAGTTAAAAGCTTCTGCATAGCAAAAGAAATAATCAACAGAGTGATAATCTGTGGAATGGGAGAGAATATTTGCAAACAATACATCCAAGAGGGGACAAATATCCAGAATTTACAAGGAACTCAAACAACTCAACAACAAAAAACAATTCCATTAAAAAGTGGGCTAAGCAACAAACATATGAAAAAATGCTCATCATCACTGGTCATCAGAGAAATGCAAATCAAAACTACATTGAGATACCATCTCACGCCAGTTAGAATGGTGATCATTAAAAAATCTGGAGACAACAGATACTGGAGAGGATGTGGAGAAATAGGAACACTTTTACACTGTTGGCGGGAGTATAAATTAGTTCAACCATTGTGGAAGACGGTGTGGCGATTCCTCAAGGACCTAGAAATAGAAATTCCATTTGACCCAGCAATCCCGTTACTGGGTATATACCCAAAGGATTATAAATCATTCT